TGGGGGGGGGGAAACAATAACAATAATAATATTTATATTTATAACAAGGTGCAATAATGACTAATGTGCAATAATAACAGTGTGCAATACACATACAGTTATTCATTTTTATTACTAAGTTAATATACTGTGTTGTATCGTGTCGTGTTACATGTAGTGCCGACGTAGGACAGTTTTCCAACTTCATTGAACTATTGTACTCTGTATGACTGTGCAATGACAACAAAGAGTTATATATCTTATCTAATAGTACTGTAGTATTGCAGTTTGATTAGTAGTATTACACTAGTACTAAATTATAGTAGTATAGTGATGCCAATATTACAGCAGTACTAATAATACTACAGTAGTATTGCAGCTGCACTATAGCAGTAATAAAGTAGTAGTACTGCAGTAATACTACAGCATTGCTCGCTTCGTCTTGTTGTCCAGCGCCGCAATGCGCATGCTCCGGCCTGGACTTTAGGGTGGGAGTTAGCCGTTAGCACCGAGCTAACAGCCGGAGCGTGTAATGGCGGCCTCGGTGTTGTTGGGCTCTGCGGACAGCGCCGGACTCAGCTTCACCATCGGGGGCGGCGGCACCGGGAATAGTAACGGACTGGGCCCGGCGCCCTGGAACCGTTCTCTGGACCGAGCGCTGGACGAAGCCGCGGCCACCGGGAGCTTGAACCTGAGCGGCAGGAAGCTGAAGGAGTTCCCCCGGTGCGCCGCCAACCACGACCTGACCGACACCACCAGGGCCGGTGAGTGAACCGCACCGGGACCCGGCCCGGCGGCGGGCCGTGTATGGCGGGCCGTGGGCGGTGGCTTAGTCCGGAGTGCTTTGGGGAAGTCGGGTTTGAGGCTGCGGGTAGGCTGGGACACCGTCAGGCCGGTGTTGTGACAAACATCGAACTCAGAAATCGGCACCGTGTCGGGGTTCCGCTGCCTTTACCGGGCTCTCCGAGCGGAGAGTACCGGCGCAGACAGGCAGTCACAGTGAATCCGGGGACCGAGCCCGCCGGCAGAGGCGTTTTTGTACCGGACGGTTCGGGTCTGAGCCCGGTAAGCTGCTCTTAGCATGTTAGCAAGGTTAGCGCGGTTACCTGCGTGCTGCCGCCGGGTTTAAAGCTGCGGTTAACGGCTCTCACTGCGGGGAGGCTGAGAGGTTGTCACCTGATCTCCGAGGTGACGGCTCGTGCCGCTTCACCTGCCAGCTTGTTTGTTAGCATGTTAGCTCTGCTCCCGACAGCCTGTAAACACTGCGGAGGAGGCGTGCGGGGTCACCGGGGCGAGGGGAGGCTGACCACCCGCGGGGGGGGGCTGAAGTCAGAGACTGGGCCCGAAGGTGACCACACACCTGGCTGGCTTTGCTTTGTTCGACTCGATTAGATAACGAGCCAGGAGGACACAGAGGCGACTCCGCCTGCCCGGGCCGGCGTGCCGAGCAAAACAAACGTACAGAACAAACAGCATTGATTATCGATCAGCTGATCGAAGCCCGCCATGCTGATGCTGCACGTGCTCCTTTCATTCACACTAAATTGCACCCAAACCGATATTCGCTGTACGTAGCCTGCAATGACGTCACAGTTTAACGTGTTTGATTGGGTTTCGTCATCTCCCTGGACATACTCGGGAAGCACGAGACCGGAAACAAACAAACACGAGTGTTTCGCGTGTGTGCCATGAATTGAGTGAGTGCCGCCCAGGTGCGATGCTTGACCAGGCTGATGTTGGATGAGGGGGGAAGACTGCTCCGCGGATCCTGAGCCTTGCAGGATTGTATCAGCACAACAAATGCTTCATAGGCGGGTCTGTGAGCAGTACCTGTCCATACCTGTCCAGGCTCCTCCTCTCTCTGAGCTGAGGCTTCACAGCTGCTTCACTCAGCTCGCTCAGTATCTCTGCTTTAGAGTCACAACATCGCCCATCTCAGAGTATCTCACATTTCTGTGTGTGCAGAGTGAGCAGGGGCCAAGCGTCCCCTCTGCGCTCTGCAGTCCTCGGAGGCGGGTTATGTTCATGTGTGAGCTCTGTGTGTGCGCGGGTCACGAGCAGCTTCAGGAACACGTGTGTGTGTGATCTCGGGTTAACCTGTACCATGTGTGTGTGCGTGATCTCGGGTTAACCTGTACCGTGTGTGTGTGCAGATCTGTCTCGTAACCGGCTGTCGGAGCTTCCTCTTGAGGTTTGTCTCTACGTGTCTCTGGAGAGTCTGAACCTGTACCAGAACTGTCTGCGGTCGCTGCCTGACGGCCTGCTCAACCTGCAGGCGCTTACCTACCTGAACCTCAGGTAACACACACAAAGACACACACACCTGTGCAGTTGTGTGCCTCAGGTCTGTTTCATTTATCACGAGCTCCACGCTCTGTCAGACGGCACCAAACAGGAAGTCCTCTGGCATGTCCTCACCTTGTGGCGTGCTTTTCTGTGGGTGACCTGTGGGTGCTGCTCACTAAACCGACGGCTTGAATGCTGCTGATTTTATTGGTCGGAAACCATGAAGCCCACTTTTGGTGTCATCAGCAGGACCAGAAGGAATCTGGAAGCGTCTCCTCGTCTTCTTCTGCTTTTTGTCTTCCTCTTCTTCTCTGCTCTTCATCGTCTTTCTTTTCTTTGTCTCATTCTGTTTTGTCTTGTAGTCCTCCTCTTCCTCTGTTCTCTGTCACATGCACACTTGTCACATGTTTACCGATGACAGCTGGATGCCTGTGTCTCTGACCCCGCCCCTCTCTTAATGCCCCTCCCCTCAGTCGGAACCAGCTGTCGGTGCTGCCCGCCGTCGTCTGCGGCCTCCCTCTGAAGGTTTTGATCGCCTGCAACAACAAGCTGGTTTCCCTGCCGGAGGAGCTGGGACAGCTGAGGCACCTCACCGAGCTGGTCGGTCCTCTCACGCCGCACGTCGGCATCCTCGCTGACCGATTGGAGCGCTTATTGATTATCGTTATCTTTGATCGCCCACAGGATGTGAGCTGCAACGAGATCCAGATTCTGCCTGCTCAGGTGGGCCAGCTGGAGGCTCTAAGAGACCTGAACATCAGGAGAAACCACCTGGTCCGACTGCCACCAGGTACACACACAAACGCGTGAAACGATGGTGACCGCTGTGTTCACAGCCTGGAGTCTGCGCTGTCTGTTACTTATTGATCAGTTATTGTTTCTGTATCAGCCGATCAGCTGACTCAGGCCCTGATAAATGACTGCAGGTTAAATTAGAATAAAACACCTGGATCGCGCTGCCAATCTAAGCTCCTCCCACTGAGCTGTCAGTCAGCCCACGGCAGAGGGCATGGCTCAGACCAGACTAACCCACTGATGGGTCTGGTGCTCCTGTGTGAGCGTGGAGCTCCTCCTCCCCCCGTGCACATGCAGATGGGTGAGCTGCAGTTTTTAACCTCTGACCCAAACATCAGTGTCGTGAATCTCCACCCGTCAAAGCAACGTGATTAAAGTCACCACACAGGCCGAACAGCAGGGGCACGAAGCGCCCGCTGTTGTGTTCAGGTTTCAAAGCGGTCGCGGCATTTCCTGCTATCTTTCCAAAGAGCTGCTGTCTCTCTCACAGCTCAGTCGCCGCCACATTTCTCTGCTTGTCTCGACTCGTCTGTGAACTCCTGAGCGAGTTCTGACGGCGAGTCAGATTTAGTTTTTTTACAGCTGAGTAGTAAAATCCTAGAACAGGCGATCCACAGTTTTCACCTGACGTCAGAGCTACGGGGACACGCCCACCCAGCAGGTAAAAACAGTATAGTCGTTTGCACGTCTTTGAATTTAACTGAATGGCAAATCACACCAATCCCTGACGCTCCACCGCGACCCCGGCGGTCAGCACAGCTCGTTTAAACTCACTTATCTACCCAGATCAAAACCAGACATAGCGGTCAGTCCCGGCAGCAGTGCGAGGCGATACTCCACGCCACGTTCAGGGATCTGAAGGTGCCTGGGCGCAGTGTAGATCCACAGCAGTCATAGGTCGTCTTGGTTTCTTTAATTTTCCTCCAGGATGATGAGACAGTAAAAAACACGTGCAGTACTGCCAATTGTCCACTAGTGGCCATTAGTAATAATTGGTAGTATTTAGGTGTGCCCCGCCTTTCGCCCTATGGTAGCTGGGATAGGCTCCACCCCTCAAAAGAACGGATGGAACCATAAGAAGAAGAGAATTGAGTCATTGTGTTGTCAAACCTGGGAAGTGAAGCGTGATGGCTCGTGGAGTAATCTGATTGGTCGTCCCTGCAGAGCTGGCCGAGCTGCCTCTGGTGCGTCTCGACTTCTCCTGTAACAAAGTGACCTCCATCCCCGTCTGTTATCGCCGCCTCACGCAGCTGCAGACCATCGTCCTCGACAACAACCCGCTGCAGACCCCGCCCGCTCAGGTACGCAGGAAGTGACCTCGCAGGCATCCCTGTGCAGGTGTCGGTTCAGAGCTAACGTCTGCTTCCTGTCTGCAGATCTGCATTAAAGGGAAAGTTCACATATTTAAGTACCTGAATCTGGAGGCCAGCAAGACGACGCCGGACCTGCCCGAGTACGACAGACGACCTCTGACCTTCAGCTCCTGGTCTGCGCACGCACACACACACACACACACACACACACACACACACACACACACACAAAAGCTGCTGCTCTTTCACAATAAAAGCCTTTGACTCTCTCACTTTGCCCCATCAGTGTGGATGAGCTTTACCCCGGGCGTCCCTACGGAGCGCTCGACTCCGGCTTCAACAGCGTCGACAGCGGAGACAAGAGATGGCTGAGCAACGAGGTCACACACGCACACAGACACAAACACACACAGTGTTTCGTCACGGCAGCCTCGATGTTCTGTTTTCTTTTAGTTTAATGAGTCGACGACACGTATCCTCCATCGTGACCCCTGTTGACCCCTGACCCTTTAACGGTGGAGGATTTTTACATGAACTGTGCTGTAGCAGATAAATGTGTGGTTAGCGTGGCTCACACCAGGGCGAGCCCGTCAGGCATTGCTAAACGATCAGAGCTGTGCCGACCCACAGAATAATAAGCCCACCCATCGCAGCCTGCTGGTGTTGAGCCGCTGATTTCGCTCCTGCTCGAGCTCCGTTTGCAGAAACCGCGCTGTCTCCTCTGTGCAGGCCTCAGAGGAGCTGTCGGAGCTGCCCCAGCGAGTGGCTGACATCAGCCGAGACCAGAGGCAGCGAGGAGGCGCGGCGGGAGGAGCGGCGCTGCCTAATGGCACATGTGAGCGTTTCTCTGATCTCACATCAGTTTAGAGGTTGAGGCGGTAAAACAAACGCACCTGAGCCTGGTACACTGCTGAGGAAGATGAAGCCGAGCGTGTTAGTGGAAGGTTGGCTCCGGCTGCTTCAGTATCATCAATTCAGATCAGTGTGACGTGGCTCATGGTTAGGACAGGTGAAACTGGTAGAAGCTCTCACCTGCACAGACGTCTCCATCAGCTGGTTCGAAGTTACGCTCCACAGCTGCCAGCCAGTCGGAATCCAGAGTACTCGGAGTGAATGTGGTGAGTGATGGAGCTGATTGGTGCTTCTCGTCTGGATCGTCTCCTCCTCTGTGTGTGTGTCAGATGGGGAGTTGGAGCAGATCGACTTCATCGACAGCTGTGCGGGTGAGGAGGAGGAGGAGGAGGGGAGGAGTCGTGGGGGAGGAGACAGGACCAGCCTGAGCTCTCAGTTCATGGCTTACATCGAGAGACGCATCACCAGAGAGGTGAGAGCTCCGCCCACAGGAAGTCACACCTGCGACTCACATGCACCCCACAATTGCTTGTCGTCTTTTAACTACAGTCTTTACAGTAAGCCTTTTTACACAGACTTCTGAAAGGTCAAAGGTCGAGTCTGTCGGTGGTTTGAGGTATAAACTGATAATTGTGGTGTAAAATCTGAGCTTTATTGTGAAAACCCTGTGTGACTTCCTGTCTCTGTGCTCAGGGTTCTCCTGTGAAAAGCGGCTCTTCGAGGATGGAAGACCCGAGGAGACACAGCAGGTACGGTCCTCGTTCACCTTTATCACACCTGCTCTTTTCACTTCCTGTCTGGCTTACTGTGTCAACTCGTGTCCCTCAGGGGTGGAGTCGATAGCGCCGCGGCCGCATCTGGCTCACACGGACAGGTAAGGCGTCCTCTTACCTGTGAGGTAGAAGCTGAGCACAGCTGCAGCAGCACTGACGGTCTGTGTCCTCAGAGAGGCGGCGTGGAGAGGATGAGGAGGGAGGCGCAGCTCGCCGCCATGAGGTACGACGAGGAGCGGCAGAAGAACCGCTCGCTGCAGAGGGACAACGTGAGCGGACACGCCAAGGTACGAACGGTACCAGTTTAACTGGTGACGGCACGTTATTGATCGCTGATCAGCTGTTATTGATCGAAACTCTGTTGATGCTTTTCAGCATAAAGCAGCTCCGAGTCCCACGAAGGCCAGTCCTGACACAGAGGTGAGTCTGTGTGTGTGAGTCTGTGTGTGTGAGCGTGTGTGTCTGTGTGTGAGAGCGTGTGTGTGTGAGTGTGTGAGTCTGCGTGTGTGAGCGTGTGAGTCTGTGTGTGTGAGCGTGTGAGCGTGTGAGTCTGTGTCTGTGTGTGTGAGTCTGCGTGTGTGAGCGTGTGTGTCTGTGTGTGAGTCTGCGTGTGTGAGCGTGTGTGTGAGTCTGCGTGTGTGAGCGTGTGAGTCTGTCTGTGTGTGTGTGTCTGTGTGTGTGTGCGTGTGTGTGTGTGTGTGTGTGTGTGTGTGTGTGTGTGTGTGTGTGTGTGTGGTGAGCTTCACTGACCTTGTTGTGTGTGTGTGTGTCTTGTGTGTGTGTCTGTGTGTCGTGTGTGTCTGTGTTGTCTCTGCCTGTGTGTGTGTGTGTGTGTGTGTGTGTGTGCTTTGTGTGTGTGTGTGTGTGAGTGGTGTGTGTGTGAGGGGGGGGGTGTGTGTGTGTGTGTGTGTGTGTGTGTGTGTGTGTGTGTGTGGTCTGTGTGTGTGTGTGTGTCGTGTCGTGTGTGTTGTGTCTGTGTGTGTGTGTCTGTGTGTGTGAGTCTGTGTGTGTGTGTGAGTCTGGTGTGTGAGCGTGTGTGTGTGTGTCTGTGTGTGACGTGTGTCTGTGTTGTGTGAGTCTGTGTGTGTGTCTGTGTGTGTTGTGTGTGTGGTCTGGTGTGTTGTGTGTGTGAGTCTGTGTGTGTGTGTGTTGTGTGTGTGTGTGTGTGTGTGTGTGTGGTGTGTGTGTCTGTGTCTGTGTGTGAGTCTGCGTGTGTGGCTGTGTGTGTTGTCGTGTGTGTGTGTCTGTGTGTGTGTGTCTGTGTGTGTGTGTGTGTGTGTCTGTGTGTGAGTCTGTGTGGTGTGTGTAGTTGTGTGTGTGTGTGTGTGTGAGTGTGTGAGCTGTGTGTGTGGTGTGAGTCTGTGTGTGTGTCTGTGTGTGTGTGTCTGTGTGTGTGTGTGTGTGTGTGTGTGTGTGTCTGGTGTGTTGTGTGTCTGTGTGTGTGTGTTGTGTGTGTGTGTGTGTGTTGTGTGGTTGTGTGTGTTGGTGTGTTGTGGTTGTGTGTGTGTGTGAGTCTGTGTGTGAGTTGTGTGTGTCTGTGTGTGTGTGTGTGTGAGTCTGTGTGTGTGAGTCGTGTGTGTGTGCTGTGTGTGAGTCTGTGTGTGTGTGTGTGTTGTGTGTGAGTCTGTGTGTGTGTGTGAGTCTGTGTGTGTGAGCGTGTGTGAGTCTGTCTGTGTGAGTCGGTGTGAGTCGGTGTGTACCTCTTTGTGAACAGGTGTTGTTAAATGATGCAATAATAATAATTCGTGATTGGTTTGATGGAATCAGAGTCATAACGTTTCACTTCCTGTGTCACTTCCTGTAACGATGGAGGCGTGTGATTCACTTGCTGATGATTGGTTGGCTCAGAGGTAAACATGGTGCTGTGTGAGGCTGACAGAAAAACGCCGGCGAGTGTGGGCGCGATTAGTCGGTCGGTTTTTATCGGCACGTGCGTTCACTTTCAAACGTCTAACAAAGATAAATGAAGACATGGAGGTCAAGGGTCATCCTGTCGGGGTCAGGCCTGTCTCGTAAGTTAACCCCACCTCCACAGCCCATGGTGACCCAGGGCGACTCCCGCTCCCTCACTCGCTGATCTGTCCCATCTGACCGGTGCTGAGAGCTGAGAGTGTTTCAAACTGTGGAGCCAAGCACGCATGACCTCTGACCTCTGACCTCTGACATGGGAGCAATGTGGAAAATCGTTTTTTTTCCAAATATCTGAGAGAAAACGTAAAGCTGCACGACTCAGCAGGTAACGATCTTCTAATAGCGATGGTTATTAGAAGCTCGCACAGTGAGTCTAGCCCCGCCCCTGTTTAAACCACACCCCTCATTCGCCACGCTCTCACCTGTATGTTAGTATTTGTTAATGTGTTTGTGTGTCTGTGGTTTCTGTTTGTGCGCTCAGAACGTCTACCCCTCCCGACGCTCCACCCACACAGACGACTCCGCCCTGTTCATGGTAAGAGTATGGCCCCACCCCCAACAGCTACTAACTGATTTTCAGAGCAGGGTCGCTCGGGTTTGTGTGCAGAAGCGTTTGGAGGACAAACTGCGTCCGCACTGCGTTTCCTCATCGTGCTGTTATTTTGTAAATATATTTATCAGCTGCTCAGTGTTGTGGTCTCGGCTCGAGCGCGTGAAACTCGTCTGGGTGTAAATATGTTTTACGTGGTTGATTATCGGGTTCGTTTTCATCTTGTGGTTGGCTTCTCGCCGCTGTATGAACCACGTGAACCGGCGGCACGGTCAAAGTTTTGATGTCGTGACATGGAGGAGCTCCAGATCAGTGACAAACTTGAATGAAGGTTAAAGGTCGAGGTGAGAAACGAGCTCTCATTTTAGCGTTACGCAGACAGACGTGTTTCTCTCTGTGGATCACTTTGACCCCACGCTCGATCGCACTGGAGCCGTGTTAGTCTGTGTTGGCAGAGCGCTCTTATTTTGAAAAAGCACACAAACCCGAGGGATTCTGAGGACTGAATCAGCATGAACACACCTGTCCACCTTTCCTCTAAGCCCCACCCAGCACCACCTGTTCTTATCCTCTTCCTTTACCCCTTTCCTATCTACTCCTCTGGGCTCTGAGTGGCTACTGTGACTGTGGTGATGACATGTTAGTCTATAAAGGGTCACACGGCGCGTCCATAAACTGGTTTAAACTGGTTCAGGAGTAACCCGAGCAGCAGCGGTTACTCTCTCAGGTTCAGTTTGGTCTCTTTTCAGCATCTACTTCCTGTCACATGGTGATGTTTGTCTCCGCCCAGCAGAGACCCTCGTTGTGAACTTTAGTTTAACAGTCTGGCCGCTCTGCTTCTGTAGCATCATCACGTGTCAGCTGACCTCATTGTTCTCTAAACATCACCGACGGTGACGGCGGCGCTCGCAAATCCTTAGAAAAACTTTATTGTCACAGCCAGGAGAACAAACACTGATCGTCTCACTGGAGCTGAAATTGTTGGACCCAGAGGTGATTAACGCTGTGGGTGTGTCCCGTGAGCATCGGCACTTCCTGTGGAGAGACTGAGGTGGTAAAGTTTGTGCGACGCGTTTCCTAAACCTGCCGAGCTGTCGGAGCTTAAATTCACTGAAACAGACGATGAGCTGAAAGCACCTGCACGTCATTAACACCTGAATCTCTGCATTAACTACTTCTTCTTCTCTTCTTCTTCTTCCCCTTTTCTTTTTTCCTCATCTTCACTTCCTCCTCAGTTTGCTCCTCCCCCTTTCTTTTTATCTCCGCCCTCGCCGCCTTCCTTCCTGTCTGTCTGCGTGTCTGTCTGTGTGTCAGTGTGTCCTGGTGTTTGAGATCGACTTTGACACAAACACGATAAAGAGGCGACCTGGCTCACACAGACAGGTGACACACGCCTTCCACGCGTCCGTCCCTGCTGGACGCAACGTTCACTGACATCACTGCTCTTCCTTTCTTTTTATTTGGCCCCTCCCCTGTCTGTCTGTCTGTGTCTCAGTCTGTGGCTGGACTGTCTGTAGACGGCTGTTATTCTCACACTTCTGATAGCGCCACCTCCTGTCTGCTGCAGGTACTGCACTGTGCATGCTGCACTGTGTCCGCATGCTTGACCTTCAAAGTGAGGCAGTTTCTAGGAGGCGGAGTCAGCGGTTTGTCGTTACAATATTTCATTAGCAACACCAGGTGTCACTGGGCCTCATTCGCAAACCTTGGACAGGTAAACGTGGGACGGTCCTTTGAGGTGTCTCGCTGCACGTCGTTTCTCTTTGGTCCGTTTCAGTTTGCAAAAAGTCGAAAAAACCAAAACAAACGTGGTGATGTTAACGGGGCCGAACGGCGTTGGACATGGCGACGATCGTAGACCAGTCGTCTGTCAGGTGCTGCCTGTCTGCTGACTTCCTCCTTCTCTTTCCGTCGGCGCTCAGGTCTTTTTCTTTTCGTTTTTCCACGAGTCTCAGGCTACGTCCACACGTACCCGGGTATTTTTGAAAACGCAGATTTTTCTATGCGTTTGCGCCTTTCGTCCACACGTAAATGGCGTTTTCGGTCACTGAAAACGGAGATTTCTAAAAACTCAGTTTTTGCGTTTACGTGTGGACGAGGTAAACGCAGAAAACCCAGCGTCAAAGGTGTGCGCCACGTTGTTTCGGTGAAATGAATTTCTACAACACTGTTACTGTTACTCTGCAGTGTTTACATGCGTACACACACACAGTTACTGTCCCTCCACACAGACGACTCAGTTCTGCTTCTATGCCCCATCTTTGTTTACTCTTTCCCACCCAGGCTTATCGACTTCTGATTGGCCAACATTTCTACACGGATAGAGATATAGCGCCACCTGCCTGTTCCTAGCAGCGTTTTCCTTCGTGTTTGGCTTTTATGTGTGGACGGGATTTTTTTTGTATAAACGAAAACGGAAAATCTTCATTTTCAAAAATACCCGTGTACGTGTGGACGTAGCCTCATTGTGTTTCAGTCCGGTGTTTTTAACCGCTGCCGTGGAAGCCGAGCGTCCTCTGGCGTTCTTTCTCATTAAAGTGAGAAATGACTGCGATTCGCTGTCGTGTTGTTCATGTTTCACGTGTGTGATTTTGCTGACGCGTGTTCGGTGAATGAGGCCCGGTGTCCACTGCAGGACGTCCCAGTTACAGACGTCATTTCACTGTTTCAGGAAAGAAGTGGTCTTGGCCCCGCCCCCAGAGCAGCTGTTTTTGTTCAGTCACATGATCAGAAATACCTGTGAAGAGTACCTGAGTGATTCCACTGAATGTTAATCAGTATTTTACCTGAAATGACATCATTAGCGTTGACACACCTGAGCAGCCTGGAGCTAGCAGCACACCTGAAGCTCGCTGCCTCGCACTGACCTCCAGGTGTGTCCAGCTGTGTGACTGTGTTGTGTTGTCCCACAGGGTGAGGACCGAGCTGCTCTCTCTCCTACAGGTAAGACCGACAGTTTACCGAAGCCCCTCCCCTCCCCAGTGTTCGCCTGCCTCCCGCTCACACCTGGATTTTCTCTTCTTTCAGCCAATCAGTCGCCGTCTTACCCCAGCTCGGGGGGCGTGGCCTCCTGTCGAACTACCAATGTGCGGCCAGAGAGCTTCCTGTTCCGGCTCGCGCAGAGGGAGGAGAAGAGGAAAGGTGAGGTCCTGTGGGGGTGTGTCCTCAGCCTCACTCACCTGTCAGGTGTGCTCTGTGTGACTGCTGTTCCCTCTCTGTCCTCCAGGTGATACCTCTGCTCCTCCGAGCCAGGAGGAGGCTCCCGCCGCTCCTCCTCTTGCTGCAGAGGACGTCGAGGTGGTGGAGCAACTCAGGAAGGTGCGTACCTGGACTCACCTGGGTGGGTTACCTTGTTCACAGGTGACTGATCAGCCCTCTCTCTCCCTCCAAGAACATCGAGGCTCGTCTCAAAGTGTCACTGCCGAGTGACCTGGGAGCAGCCCTGACGGACGGCGTGGTTCTCTGTCACCTGGCCAATCACGTGAGGCCGCGGTCCGTCCCCAGCATCCACGTCCCCTCCCCTGCCGTGGTGAGTAAAGTGTTAATGTGTGCGCTGCTGTTCAGGTGTGCCCCGCTGACTGTCCCGTCTGCCCGCAGCCCAAACTCACCATGGCCAAGTGCCGCAGAAACGTGGAGAACTTCCTGGAGGCGTGTCGCCGCATCGGAGTCCCACAGGTACCATGCACACCTGAGCGATGAACGAACAACAGCAAATCCAAATGTTCCCCATCAGTCCTCCTGCCAGACGAGCCGATGCCTTTAATGAAACGGGGCCCGCTGGGGTTTTTATTGAGAGTGACCTTTGACCCCGGCTCGGAGATTTCAGACACGGGTTCGGCCTCTGCTGCTGACGCTGTCATTAAACCTCAGTGTGATCTGCAGCACGCCGCCATGACTGATGGGGCGGGGCTGGGTAGTCATAAATACGCGTGTGGTTTATCATAACGAACCAACCAATCGGGCTGGACGACTGATGGTGAAGTTTGAAGTTTCTTCTTCTACTAACGCCTCTCTTCCTCTCTGTCATCGTCCCGCCTCTCATCGCTCCCTTCCTCCTTCCGTGCGTCTCTCCTCTGTTCTTCCTCCCCCGTGTCCATCTCACCCAACACGCACGCACTCAGGACCATCTCTGTTCAGTGGGCGACGTCCTGGAGGGGAAAGGGGGCGGGGTTTATGCCACAGTGGAGGTGCTGCTCTCCATGGCTCCTCCCCTGGTCAGCCTGTCCCCTCAGGTCCAGCTGGCCGGCTTCGCCCTCTTTTACCTGTCTGTCATGTCGGTGCTGTGTGCCATTTATGTGCACCTGGCGCCGCACGTCTGACGCCGAGCGAGCCGAGGGCGATCTCGCCGAGTTGCACGCAGCGGGCGTGAATTTATCCCAGCAATGTCCCCTCAGAGTCTCCGTTCACCACAGTAACGCAGGAATCCTGCCCTGGATCTGTCGTAGTACTGCCACCTTTCAGGTTACGTTAGTTTAGCACAAAAACTGGGCCGAGGAGAAGAGCCTGGCTCCGATTGGTCCGTCTGTCTCCTGACGTGTGCAGCGGCGTCTAGTCTGTAGACACGCCCATCTGCGGGACCTGACGCTGCTCCTGAGGCTCTGATCCTGGCCCTGTAGACGTGTTCAGGTCAAAGGTGAAGACTCAGATCAGCGTGGGGCGATGCTCGCCACTCGAGTTAGAGCGTCTGTCATCGGCCAATCAGCTGTGGGCTCAGAGGAACATCCGAGCAAGTTCACTCCAGCAGCTGGATCAAATGCTCTCCCATATGCTTTGAAATCATCCATAAGCCGTTCCTCTCTCACCTGTACAGGTGTGCGTGTCGCAGCCTCCTTGCTGATTAATAGAAACATTTTCTGCTCACGCTGACGACGATGAACATCCAGCCCCCCCCCGTGACCCTTTGAGTGACCGATGCTCCGCCCAGTGGGCAGGTAGAAGGCGTGAGGCACAGAAGAGTTGAGTGTTTGAGCCAGAGGACCATGTGACCCCTCAGTCGGACCTGGACGATCCCCCAAAGCTCGCCCTCACGCTCGCCTCCTGCCTGTTGGCGTTCTGCCCCGTGCCTTACGTTCCATTTTTTTACTGTTTGAAGTGTCAGCCCCTCCCATCAGAAACACGTCTCCCTGGAAACGACCTCTGAGCACCACATCAGCGTTTCACATGTGGTCTGATGCCTGCATTGACCTCCCGGGTGGCTCTCCGGTCGAAGCGCAGGAACCTTCAGTGTCACCTGTACCGAGGCTCTGGAGACTCCTCCCACTGCAGGACTAGCAGCAACCCCCACAGGTGTGCAGGGTCAGGACACCGACCTGTGATGGCCTCGCCATCGCTCTTATGTCTGTGACGGTGGAAACTCGAGCAGAACAAAGAGGCATCCTGCAGTGGGAGGGGACTCGGCCTCAACGTGGGCGGGTTTCCTGTGGCTCCAACCGGCCGGAGCACGCCGAAGCGTCACAGGATGGGATTGTTCTACGATGAAGAGTGAGGATGAGGATGTCTGAGTGTTTTGTAGACCTGTGCCTCTGCTCTGTTCCTTTTAGAGCTCCATCAATAAAGTTCAGTAAAGCCGCTCGACTCACTTGTCTGTCTTTCAAACACACCTGGAGGTCTTTGCCTCCTGATTGGTTTGTTCCATCGATGCCAGCAATGGCCGCTTCATCCTCTTCACAGAGACCCGACATCAGGTAACACAGTCAAGGTGTAAACTGATGTCAGCACATTAATTTCATGCTTCATACTCGCCTGCAACCCACCGACACTGGACTGGTGTCCTGGTGGAAACCAGCTCCTGCCACTGCAGTCGGTCCACTGGTGTGGCCCAGGACACCTTAGCAGAGCTTCTAGCACGCGTGTTGTGAAGATGACGACACGGCAGTGCCTTATTCTTCCCCCACCAGCAGGGGGTGCTCCCCTCTCTGTAAGCATGAGTGCGTGATCCTGATCCGAGCTTCCTGACAAGTTTGTGCTGCAGTCGCTGCTTTCAGGCCTCACTGAGCTAAAGTCGGAGGTTATTGTTAGTCAGGTGATCGATTAACCTCAGTGCTGATAAACTCCCATGTTTCCTAGCTGTGTGGAAGGTGTGCTGATTGGTGCGTCACCGTGCAAATGTGTTGGAGTTTAAATCTGTACGTGTTTGATGGCAGCCGGCTCAAAACTGACACCTGCCGCTGTGGCACTACACTTCCCATCCGCCTCTTACTTCCTTCTGTCTCCGCCCCCGTCTTTGGCCCACAGCCTTCTGTTCAAAGCTCTCTTACCTGTCTGCTTCCATCTGCACGCCCCGCCCCTTCTTTCCTCCTCCTCCTCCATCATTTTTGCCGTTCCTTGTTTTCATCCTTGCGTTGCCATGGTTTCAGTTATTTTACCTGTTGATTTCGTTTTCCATCCGTTCCCCCTGCCCCTCGCTGTGTCTTCTTCTGTGGTGTTTGTCTGTGCAGAGTCAGTTGTGCCTTCCTCTTCACATCCTGGAGGAGCGAGGGCTACCCCAGGTGGCCGTGACCGTCGGCGCCCTGCTCAACCTGGCCCCGCCCCGACACTCCAGCACCACAGCGACCCCCACGACGCCATCAACCCCACCGGGGCCGTCTGTCACCATCTAGCCATATTTGCACCCCATTTGTACCAGCCAATCAGAGCTAAGCGTCTCTTAAAGCCTGCATGATGTCATCAGAAAGTGTCCGAAGCTCCTGCAGCAGGGGGCACAATACCACAGTGATGGGTTCTGAGCTCCTATTGGTCAGTGCTGTATGTATGGAAGCCCATTTCGGGGGGGGGGGGATGCTACCCAATTACCTCGGCTGAAATGAATTTTAAAGTAAAAGATGAATCGAATATTTAAGGTCGTGTCTGAATGACAAAAAAATATTTCACAGGTGAGACCTTCAGGCACCTCATAGGTGCAGGTTCAATTCCCCACGGCCACTTGCTGCCCGCTCTCTGCTGACCAATAAAGGCTCAGCGCCCCCAAAATACAAAGTAGAGTAAAACGTTCAGACGTTTGCAGCAAGTGTGTTTCCATTTGTGGGCAGAAATGGGCTTCCATCCCACCTGTGCCGTCACTCTGCAGGTGAGGGAGTGGCTGATGGGCAGTGATGGAGACGAGTCGAGCTGAACTGATCTTTACTCTTGCTGCAAGGTTTGTTAGAAATCAGCTTCTCACAGGTGGAGGTTTCACTCTGGACCTATTACACTCATCACAGATGACAGAGCCGCAGAGCAGACCAGATAGGAAGGAGCAAATAATCTGACCAGATTTTAATGCTGTACCTGGTGTAGGCGGAGCTAATCTATTCCATCTGCTGATTATTACAAGTGATAATAATGAGTGCCCTCACCGTGAAACCACATCTGCTTGTGTTTGAGCAGCGGTCCAAAGGAAATCCTCCACGTGTGACAAGGTGAAAAGATAGAAGCTTACCACCTTTGACCTTTGCCCCCTGAGTCTGAGGTAAAGAAGGTAAAATGATCCTCTGATGTCAGAAAAATAACCCAGAGGCAAAGTGGGAGGTGGTTTATTCTACTTGTCAAGTTTTCTAACGGGTGAATCCATGCAGTTCAACATCTGTGTGACGTTGGTTCTACATGCATTTGGTTACCTGTGTAGGCGGAGCTTAGAAACTAATATGCATAATTATTGAGCCAGTGTTAAACACAGACGACTCAAAACCATAAAACTCTGTTAGGTGGATCGTTCTGCTCATTCCAACGTTAGCTCTCACAGAGCGGCTTAGCATGAGTCCCCGTCATCTTGAGCCTCAGCTCAGCTGCTGTCTCACACAAGCCGGTTTAGCTCCTCCGCCTTTAAACGTGCTTTATTCTGATTGGCTGTATCTCACAAGCAGAAGACTTGAACAACAGATGGGTGGAGCTTTTCTCTGTGACATCACACAGATCAATGAATAGAAAAAAAACCTCATAATTCCCAGTAGCTGCAGACACACTGAACTTCCTGTTTAACATGAACATTTGCCACAGAAACAGGAAATGAGAAAGGGAAAAGCACTTTAATTTAAAAAAAAAGTATTTCATGTTCTCAGTAACATCTGATTGATCAATAAAGTCTGAAACTGTCCGGTCTGCACACTGAGATACAGTTGCAGTGCTACTAAGGGCTAACGGAAGCTAACAGCAGTTTTGTTTTGTTTAAATAACACTAATGTATCTTGTGGCTAATATAGCTTAAAGTTAATATTGGCAAAGATAAACTTATTGTAAGCCACATTTAATGGCTAGCGGTGACCTAGCTAAGATGAGTGTGCTTAGTTTAAAATAATAATAATAAAGAGAAAACTATTCCCAGATTACCCATCGCTAACAGTGACGATTCTGAATTTGCTTCAGTCTGAAAATGTAACTGACTGTTAAGGCTAACACTATTAAAACAGAGTAAATGTGTTGGATCACGCTGATCATGCTTGTCATGTTTGCAGAGACACAGGCTGATACTTACGTAGCAGTCTGTTAACAGAAACCAGCTAGCTGGAAGACTAGCTTGAAATAGGTAGCTATAAAAGTATCGTGATGAGTTCAGACTTAACATGAACTACAGCTAGGAAGTGGCCTAAGCTAACGAGTAAGCAGTAGTCTAAAATTGAATAGACTCTCTGCTATCTCTGGGTAAAACTATAATAAGACTAACTTTATGAACTGTTAGATAACAGTACTTAATATTATATATGTGACACAGTTAGCTTTAAAAATACTGACATTTCAAAAGTTCCGTAACTATTTTAACATGGCTAACTGCTGAAGAAAGCTAACACTAATGGTACTCTTATGTCGAGCTAACCACAGAAGGTAGCTAAGATAAAGTCAGGTAAAGCTAACAGCTTGTTTCTAATCTGAAAACGGTCGACGATCGCTTAGTTTATAGCATGATTGCTAAATGCTAATGTTACAGTAGTGGGTTTGATCGTGCCCAGTATTGTCAAAGAAATTATTTATTTTTCCTTTTTGGTTTTTTTTTATAGTTTATTTAGTTTGTTTTTTTTTTTTTTATGCTTTTAGTTTTGCTTTAGGTGGCAGGGCCTCTGCCAGTCTTCCATTGTGGGGCACTTACTCAAATGTGAGCTACTTGCTAACAGTAAATAATATCCCAAAAGAAGCAGCAAGGACAAAGTGTGGTTCAGTTCGGCTCTGTTCGTCTCCAACTGTCCTTATTATGGTAAACACCTTCATCTCGCCGCTGATGAAGAGGAGGATGTCGTCTGTACAGTTTTTACTCATGTCCTTGTGATTTAGGTCAATCATGTGACCTGGCTTTGTGATCACCTGATCAGACCTTTGTCACATGTGCAGCTGAAGGCGACTGGGTGGTTTCTGTTGCATGCTGGGACATTTTTCACCTTGTAAAGGTGGCCCGACTGTTGTGTACAAATATATCCTGTAAATAGAAATTTACTGATGATGCTCTGTATATGAGGCCGAAACCTGGGTGTTACTACGACAACAGAGATGTTTGTGTTGCCATGTCAACAATGGGGGGAGGGGGAGGGGGTTCTTCTCCTGTCAGTGAAGTAAGCAAACAGCTGCTGTACTGTAATTTTATTTATAAAAGTTCGTCTTGACAACAGTGATCAAAGCAATACCTGCTCAGCGTCTCACTCCAACTGGAGCTCCAAAAGGTTCCAACTGCACAAACACAGTCAGGAGGTGCAGCTCAGGTGAAGCAGACTGCTAGCAGCTACAGCCGCTTGTGTCACCATCCGCCTGTCAGGCAGAAGCCACACCCCTAATAATGCAAACAGGTGTCATGAAGGGGCCAGACCCTTTGTGTGTCAGGCTGTAAACATGTGTGTGGGGCTGACTCACTGCTGCCTCTGCTGGACATTAGAGGAACTGCAGCACACATCCTGCCATCTACAGTGGGCGTGGCCTCTGTGTACAGTGATGTCATGAATCTGAGCTGCTGCTGCTTCACTAACCGGAGGAGAAGACTGTGTTTATAATTTAAACTGTAAAGATGAGTAAAGGGGGCTGGTGCTGTGTTCAGGTGGCGTAGGACATCAGCATGCTGACACTACACTAAACACTTGCTGAAGCCTCACTTTGTTTCTCAGTCACCTGAACAGAGCACAACTTGAACAACCTGAATTATGACAAGTAGGCTGGGCCCCGCCCCCTGAACCACCTCCACCAATCAGCTCATCTTAACTGGACTCACCTGAGATCTGAGTGAACCTGATGGGGACAGGTGTGGTGGCTTAGAGGTTTCAGAAAGGTGATGGTGTACAGATGTTTTCTTCTTCAGGCGCTCGTCTTGTGACACCAGCGGGTCACGTGACGTGGGCGGCTGTTTTTCCACTTGTGTGTTTTTGCTGTTTCAGTCATAAAATAAATAGAATGTGGCTTTGATGTTTTTATTGTCTCAACACCGCACACAGGAAGTGGTGAAAAACATGTGGCCAAAAAACGAGAACACCATCAGCTGATTGTGTTCATACTGTAAATGTTTCCTATGTTTTCTGTTTTTCTCTCCTTGGTGTTTTTTTGTTTTGTTTCTGTGAATAAAGTAGAAATATTTGTCACAGGTGAACGTCACGTCTGCAGCTCTGTTCCCGGGTCAGGACGCTGCGACAGGAAGTGCAGTCTAATATAACGTAACACCGGTTTGTGACTGAAAGTATTTATGACTCCTCTGGAGAACAATAATCATGTTTCACGGTAGGATTTTGTGACATCTTTTCAAAGTATGTTTGTAAATCAACCAAGCGACAGCGTGTCACATCAGGGCTGTTTATGAAGAACAGTCTAACTTCACATTCTTTAATGACACGCAGTGTGTGCTCTCATTGATGCTGTGGTGTCCTGGAGTGAGGTGTTCTTAAACAGCGTGGTTTATTACAGGACGTGCGGCAGCGTCCTCACAGGAAGCCCTGAGGCCCCAGATAACATTGTGCTTTAAACTGTGTCATATCAGACGCAATAATCACACCTCCCAAATACTTGGCTCTGAATTTTGCATTTATTTAAATTCAGCTTTAAGCCTAAATCTTCAAACACTTTGGCGACAGTGGGAAGGAAAAACTCCCTTTTAACAGGAAAAAACATCCGGCAGAACCAGGCTCAGGGAGGGGCGGGGCCATCTGCTGTGATTGGTTGGGGTGAGAGAAGGAAGACAGGATAAAGACATGCTGTGGAAAAGAGACAGAGATTAATAACAGGTGAGAACAGAGAGGGCAGCATCATCAGCTCACTGGGTCACTGGAAGGTTCAGAAGGTGGTCAGCTGGTAAGGAGCGACGGCCCAGCCCTGTTGTTGACGATGAAGGTCATCTGTTTAAGGAGTGAGCTGTTGATCAGTCTTCACGTGTCAGTGGGCAGGCGTGTAACCTGAGCCTCAAACACGTGCTTCACTGTGAGATGAAGCAGAGCTTTAACGTCAGGCTGTTTGAGCCTCCACCAGTTATCTGGTAAAATGGCCATGTACCATCTGGTGGTGACCTGACTGCCAGCTCCATGGATCACTTTCAATGTCGAGGTCCATGTGAAACAGAGAGCTGATGATTTCTTTCCTCTGGTTGCAGGTATGCCCCAGGGACCTGTCCTAGGGCCCCTTCTTTTCATCCGCTTGGACACATTTTTGTAAATGCAATATTCACTGTTTCACTGTTATGTTGATGACACCCAGCTTTATTTGTCCACTAAACCTGATTCTGCTCTCCCCCCGTCCTCCCTCACCCTCTGTTTAGCCAAACTAAATTCGCGGTTCTCTTAAAATTTTCTCAAACTCAATAGTAACAAATCTGAGCTCCTCCTAGTCGGCACTAAACAAACGCTATTCACAACTAATAGCTTTTCTATTACAATCAATAACTCGCCGGTCTCCGTTTCCCCATTTGTGAAAAATCTGGGTGTCATCCTTGATAGCACTCTATCTTTTAACTCCCACGTCAATGACATCACTGCATATTTCCAACATTAATCGTCTCCGTCCTTTTCTCTCCCCATATGTCACTGCCATTCTTGTTCATAGCCCGGTCACTTCCCGGATCGATTACAGCAACTCTCTTCTTTTTGGTCGTAGTCAAAAATCTGTCCATCAGCTTCAACGTGTCCAGAACTCTGCTGCTCGTATCATCACCAGGACCCCTTCTATGCACCACATCAGCTCTGCTCTGCAGCAGCTTCACTGGCTTCTGGTTAAATACCGCATCAATTTCAAGACACTTTTGTACACATTCAAGGCTACCCATCATCTCTCGCCTTCATACCTCTCTGACATGGTTCAGATCACCGTTCCTTCTCTGTGTCTCACATCCTCCTCCTCTCTTTCGCTTTCCATCCCTTCCCCCCCGGCTAGCCACCGTGGGGCGCAGGGCTTTCTGCTGCTCTGCCCCCCGTCTTTGGAACTCCCTCCCTCCTGAGATAAGAAACATCACTTCCCTCCCTCTTTTTAAGTCCAGACTCAAAACTCACCTGTTCACATTAGCCTATTCCACATAAATTTTTCCATCCTGCTATTTTAATTTGTTTTATTTATTTGCTCAAAGTTTTATCCTTATTATTTTGTAAATTGTTATGTTTGTTGTTGTTATTGCTTGTGTACAGTGTCCTTGAGTGTTTTGAAAGGTGCTTTCTTAAATAAAATTTATTATTATTATTATTATTATTATTATTATTATTATTTCAACTGTTCCAAACGCTCTTGTGATGAAAGAGTGGCCCTATGGTTTCCTCATTAATGAGTGTTTATTCATCATTATATGAAGATGCAAGAGCCAGGGATAGAAGCACATTTTACAAGACAACATAGGAGCAACTAGAAAGTGCATTTTCTGAAGAAACTGCAGTGTGAATGCTTGAATCTGAATGTATGAGCTGAAATGAATTAATTATTGAATATTAACCTAAAAATGTTGAATGAGCTGGAAAATACAGAGTTTTTAACCTGAAAACAAAAGTGCAGAAATTTTGAAAGCTGATGTTCACACAGAAGAAGTTGGAAAATAGCTGAAAAGTTTTTAAATTTAAATTAGAAAAACCTAAGTAATGAGAAAATACATTTTCGAGTCAGAATGAATATTAAAAGTTAATATTCTTTGAATCACTGAATGACTAAAATGTGATCCCTCCACTTGGATCCACACAGTTTAAAAAGTTTAAATGTCTGAGCTTTGAAAGACATGCTGTTGGAGAGAAAACAACGATGGCGACATTTTGAGGGTAAAATGATGGCAGTAGAGCAAACACTGTGGACACAGCAGCAGTTGAAAGACAAGTGTTTAAGATGAATCTTGGTACAGTGGCAGGCAGAGCTCGTTAAGCAGGCAGGTGTGAGCCTGGTTGCTATAGTGACCGCACCCAATGGCTCCATACACACGCACACAGACATGCGCCTCACTTTTGCCGCTTAAAATGAACAGAAAAGTCAGGCCGAAACAAATCGTTCCCAAATGAAAAGTACAAGTCGTATTGACAAAATTCTTTCACCGTGAGCGACAGCAATGTCCAGTCTACCAAATTCTCAGTTTTCATGCCTGTGGAGCTTATTATATGGATGTGGTGACAGTGGAAAGACACCATGCTCTTCTGATTTTCAAACGAACCTTCTGAGCCATTTTAACATTAGAGTCTATGGAAGAGTTGGAGAGAGGAGGCTGTGCATTGGTGGCATTTATGAAAGAACCATAACACCTAGTACAATAGTAAACACATTGGATGAAAGAGGACAGCGATAGCTACGTTTTGAGGGTAAAATCATACCTGTAGAGCAAACGCTGTGGACACAGCAGCAGTTTTAAAAAAGATTTTAAGATTAATTTTTTTACTCCTCTCACTCTAGCCCCAACATTCCGTCCCATACACACCCATTATAAACTCTGAAACGGGTGAAAAAACATCATGAAACTTAAACTGGAACTGAAGAAAAAGTATAATAGATATTGAAAAGATAAATACAAGTTGAATAGTTGAATCTCTTGGCTTCGTTTTAAAGTTTGAATGGTGGCTCTATGTCAATGTATGTGGAAGTAGTAAGAGTTGAAAAATAAGTAAGTTGAATGAGGGTTTGAAGGGTCTCCAGATTGAAATACATGGGAAATTTTTGTTGAAAAAAGTTGAATAAAATTAAAAATATAAATGTTAAAAATGAGAAAAATAGAAGCACACTTTTCCAAAAGAAGAGGAATCTAATGGTGTTTGAATGGTTTTTCTAAGTTGAACAGTTTTGAAGGAGTTAGCGTCCAAAAAACTTACGGAAAAATAATAATAAAGATTCAAAGAACAATACTGTGAATGCTTTTCAAGCATTCACACTAATAAGAAGAAAAATATACATAATTGAAAACATCAAGAATACATAATGACGTCATCTTGTTGTTATGGCAGCAGGTAAAAAACAGACATCCCATCAGTTATTATGGTGTGTGTGTGTGTGTGTGTGTGTGTGTGTGTGTGTGTGTGGCGCCATCTTAGATGAAGACATGAGTGGAACCCCGAAGTGTGCTTTGATTGTAACAATGACATCAGGCTCCGCCCATGCACTACTGAACAAAACTAAGTATGAAAAGGAAAGGAAGAGCAAAACAGTGAAGGGTATATAAAAAGGTCAATATATACAAATAAAGTAAAGCAATAGTCAAACTACAAAAACATATTCCACACAACAGCATCTGCTGGGTAGGATTTAGTGTTGTGGAGCCTGTGAGATGGAAGCCAGGCCTCAGCCTGAGTTTCAGTGCTCTGGTGTCTCCTGCTGATAGCAGCAGGTGGAGCAGGTGGTAGCTGGAGGTGAGGGCCGCTGCGTTCCTGAGGCAGCGGAGCCGTGCAGCTCTGCGTGCACGCAGGGATGACAGCATTTCGTGCTGTTGCTGGGCAGCCAAAGGACATGAGCAGTTTTTGGGGAATGGTGTTTGTTCCTGGGGTGACATCAGATAAGACTCAATCCTGCTTCATAGTGCAGACCTCAGGTGTCTGCAGGTGAGACAGCTGATGGAGAAGGTCAGAGAAAACAGACTGTAATCAACGTTGGAGTTCTGGGTTAAACAGGTAACGCTGCCGTTCAGACCAATCACCACACAGTCACAGAGGCGTTTACCTGGGAGCAGGTGAGGCTCATTATCCTACAGCCAGCTAGAGACTTACCTGACAGGGTGGGATGGAGGGAGGTAATCCGCCCTCTTATTGATACAATAAAGTCAAATATTTGTATTTTAGTTCAATTTCATTTCAAATCACTTTTATTGCCAGATTACATGTGCAGGTACACTGATACAGCACATGTAAGTGAAATTCTTGTGTGCAAGCTTCACAAGCAACAGAGGTGTGCAAAATACAAGAAACATAAGAGCAAGCAAAGTATAAGAATGGGAATCTGAGAATTCTAAGAATAAATATATGTACAAATATAAGAGTGATGCGCTTACTGAATATCAGGGACGTGCAGAGAGGTTTAAAGGGGCGGGTGCTCAAAGTTAAAAAGGGGCACATTGAACCATGCTGAATAACAACAACACACATTCATCAAGAATCTAATATGGGAAGGGCAGGGCTGTGTTGATCTGAGACTGTAGACATTAAAAAGTCCACAGGAGAG